TATCACGTCACAAATATGTTACGATAAATGAAAATTACTTCAATTTGGCATTTTGTCAAGTGATCTACTATTTTATATGAGAAACGACCTATATTAAACGGAACATATCTGGTGCTCGAGGAAACGATCTACAGTAGAACGTATAATTTACTTTAGAGAGACTGCGTATTATTGGACCGTATTGTATATACATATATATATTATCCGATTAGATATTGCATCATCTTATCGATAACATGTATATTCATTTCATAATATGTAAAATCTTTTAAACAATTTGAACTCGTACTGTTTATGTAAATCATTATTCGAAATCTTAAAATATATAAATGTGCGGAGAAAAAAAAACAGAAGCCCGCTTTTAGTATAAGAGGCGAAATGCCATTAAGGAAAATACATCAAGTTACAAGAATAATATATTAATACAGTATGAATAAAAGCTGCAGGAGGATTATATAATGGTATCGAAATATGGCAACAAGAAAATTCACTTAAAGAACAACTAGCATTATTATATTATGATCATTAATATATGTTTTCAAAACTAACAGCATCCGAGCTATAATGAACCAAAAGTGAACAAAAAATTTTTTAAATCTTCGATCCTACAATGGAGTAGATAAAAAAATTTCTAAATTTCATTGAATTCATCTCGGAAATACTAAAAAAAAAAGGTATACATTTAGAAGTTTAATTTTTATAGATTATGTTTCAATCCTTTTCAAGGATAAAAGAAAAATGTTTGAATAAAAATGAAAATTGAATAAACTGAAAATATGAAATAAAATTAAAAAGCAATGGAAAAGTATACATATATATATATATATATCGTTCGAACCTTTTTGACTTTCTTCAACGATACTTTTCAATTGAGAGATATGGATATATATAGAAATTTTTCTCTCTCCGCTTTTCATGAAACTCGTTTTTCAGTTCGATAGTTTCATCGCGCGGAATGGAAATGTTGACAAATTTTTATACGGTTGCATATTTATTTAGCACAAAAATCTTTAAATTTTAACATCTTTAAATTATACTTCAAATGTATATACACACTAAAAAATAATACTTACTTTCAGTTCACTTTTGACTAAAACCGTTAACATTAGAAACATTTTTACTAAATTTCAGCCTTGAGTGTATGATTTTAAGCCCTAAAATTGACTTAATCTAGTTTTAAGATTAAAATTACACTAGTTTTAAGGCATTTTGATTTTAAGATGTTAACGGTTTCAGTATTTGTTTTTTGTGTGTATAATATAATTTAATCTTTCGATATTATAAAAAGATTTCTAAAGTCACGTCTGTTCAATGGCATGAAAATAAATATTTGGCTAAAATCACGGCGTAAAAAAGACGTGACTTTAACCAAATGTCTATTTTCACGTCATTTTTACGGCGTGAAAATAGAAAATCGGTCCTTGATCTACTCAAAAATTAACTGTCACAACTATTTCATAAGTAAATTTTTAAGGCTTAAAAGGACATATATGTGTGAAAGTTATTTTATTATAATAGAATATGAAATGTGCATAAACTTGTCCCAGTTTTGAAACTATATATATATACTTTTGAAGTAATATTTAAATGATATGCTTTTAATGTATATACATGATCAAAGTTTTAAGACACAATACTTTAATATTTTGGACCTACACCTTGTTACACATTTTGTTCTAAATACATTGATCGTTTTTGAGAGTTACCCTTTATATAGATATACATATTAGTTCATTTTCGTTTGATCGTAAAATGGAAAACCCGTCTCGTTAGTTTCCAACTAGATTCCTGTGTGAGCATATTATATATGTATTGAACTCATATTGTCAAAATTGTTAGATTTACGAGTTTAGACATGATACATATATGTAGACTAAAACAACGAGTTTGTATAGGTACAAAATAGAACAATAGTTGTAATTGTATGCATAAGTGCCATGTTATTAGTATATATATATTGAGTTGCACAGTATTTGGGGAAAATCTTTCTCTATTGTTCTTATGTTACAAGAAACAAAAGGTTATACATATTAATAAACTAATATAACAACAAAACTACTTTGCAGAAAGTAATTAAAACTATTAGAAATTTCATTTAAAAACTAAAAATTCACTACTAATTTTCACTTCCGTCTGAACAAAACTGACTTTTCTGATATTGAATTTAAAAGAATTTTTACAATTCTGTCTGACTAAATCCGACTTTTACTACTGATATCTAATCCAACAAGAGAGAAATTGTCAAGAATTCTTCCCTTCCTATTTAGAAACGATATTTAAAAAGCTGACGTCGAAAGGAAGAGAACATCATCCTGTATTTGGTTCGAGATGTCAAAAAAGAAGGCTCCTAACCTCTTTGGAATTTGAGGGGGACTTCCCCAATATGACATAAATCATAAATTCTATATCCAACTTGTATATAAAATATTTGATATACTACACGATAAAATCGAAGAATTTTTCAAAGTCAAAAATAGATATTTTATTAAAAATTTTGTTTCCGTTTTCAATGAGGCATTGTTCTAATATAAAATCATTAGTTAAAATTAATTTTTAAGAACAACACCCCTAAAAAATGATGCTATTAAAATGTGTACATGATATTTCTATATATATATAGAGTTAATGTGCTCTTAAGTAGTTTGCACTTTAAGTTAGTTTATTTTTAACCAACGATGCGGATTTTCAAGAAAATGTTATCCTTAATCCAAATTCCTTTTAAGTCTTTAACTTAACTTTGCTCTAAATTAAAAACCGTAAATGGATTCATGAAAAAACTATTTACTCTCTCTCTCTAATTCTAAATGAATAAAAATTTTAATTATTTATAATATTATATATATTAAAATAAATTTTGTTTTATAATTTTTTTAAGTTTACGACACAGTTTAGTAGCATAGTTTTTTTTTTTTGTATGAGTTCAAAATGCCGGAAAGCAATCGATATGAAAAGCGACATGGGGTGAATTTTAGGGGTCGTCTCCGTTGCTACGTAAACCCCCATCGGGGAAAAAAAATGCGTTTAAGATAAGAATGAGAAAATACGGTTGATTTTTTTCAAACCCAAAAAAAATTTATTTGAGACAAATAATGAATTACTTGACTATTATATCATAGTTTTAATTTAATTATAATCGAAATAAAAATAATTAAAGGGAGAAATATTTTTTTTTCATATAAAATTTTATGTATTATATACAAAAATGGAAATATTCCCAAGACATTTTTGTTATGAGTGTAATTTATCGAAAAAGTGATTTGCAAAATTAATAAAGCAAAAGCAAGTAATAACAACGTTACTGGTAAATATTGTCTATAAACAATTTATATGGAGTGTGCTCAAATTTGCGACGGAAAATCGGAAAACAGTCAAGACAAAAATAGTATGCACATTAAAATTTAATTTTAATGTTACCTATGAATTTCAGTTACTAAATATGGTCATATTGAGCGACTTCTTCATTATTAAATTAGACTTTATTTTAAAATATTTTAAAATTCGTTATTTTCAGGATATTTGGTAAAATATTAATTTTTATATTCTAGTTGTAAATTTTGTTGGATTTAAAAAATTGATTATTTGAAAAATAACGATTAATTTAAAAAACAAAGCTATAAATTATAATTTTACATCCATTCTACTATATATATATATATATATATATGTTTAAACGAAAAAAAAATGGAAGATTCAAAGACGTAAAATGTTCGTAAAATATAATTTGCGCTTTTTATTAACCTATATTTCAAATCTTACATATTACATATTGTAACACAAACACACACACTTATGAACTGATTTTCACTTTTCCCCGTAAAAGCTGATTTCTTTTTTGTTTTTATTGCTCCAATAAAATACTTTCTAATATAAGAAATTGCTTTACCTACGTATGAACAAGGGATTCTATATATGTGAAGGACGCACGCAGGATTGTAAATTAGTAGAAGGAGAAAAAAAAAATGAGAAGAAATACGATTAATGGCAAAAACACCCTCCATCTCGTTTTCTCATTCCTCCTGATCGTCCTAAATAAATAAACCTCTAAACTTATAAATAATGTCCTTCTCTACAAGAAAACACAAATTCAATTTCTTTTTTTCTTCTAAAAGCGAATTGCCTTTCAAGTGATACTTAAATTGAGCAACTAATAAAAAAAAACCCCCCCTATACATTTAATTGTTAAACAAATCAATTGAAATTTTATTTTTATATACAAATTTTTATTTTCCTTCAGACAGAAAAAATGAGGATAAATTTTTTTCCTAACAAAAGCTTTAAAGTGATTTTTGCAAAAAATAATGTTTCATAAATATTTCAAAATCTGTTCCTTTTTATATATTCTTAACTTTTGACGAGACTGACGTAAGTATAATACAGAAAACCAACAAAAACTTTTCTCAATTCAAACAAAACTTTTGCTCCATGTATACTGACGTAAAAGTTAAAAAAAATTTCATTTTCCTCTAGAGTTTCGAATTTTAGCAAACAATCGCAAAGATAAAGTTTTTCTTCATTCTTAAATAAAATAAAAGGAAGTTTTACAGTGAAGAAAAAATTTATTTGATTCAAATAATCGGTTACTTGACTACTATTAAATAATAATTGAGTAAATTAAAAGGTATTTTAAATACAGAAATTATAGATTTTTTGATTTAAATAAAAAATTATTTGCTTCTTTATTTAATAATAGCCAATTAATCGATCATTTGAATCAAATAAATTTTTTCTCACTGTAAATCAAATTATTTTTAATATTCCTTTTCTATTTTTAATTAATTTTCTTATAACTGCTAAACGATATAATTTTAATATTACATTTCGATTATTTTCATATTTACTAAAACCATTCTTCTAACACCTATAATTAAATTCATTTGTCTTATCACTTATTAAAAAAATTGAACATAACCTCTTACAGTAAAGAAAAGACAAAAAAAAATATTCCCCTTTAAATGAATCCAAAAAAAAAAATTACATAAAAAAATGATAAAATTATTTACCTTTCGTCGATGTTGGGCCAGGATTTGAGGAAAATCCGCCGCCGCATCCTCATTGCACTACACTTGCACCCTTTTCAATATATACAACAGAATAAAGAACTTGTGATACACCGGCGAAGCACTTCACAACCGTTAATCCGAATTTCGTTACCCCCACCCCCAAAAAAATATTACACTTATTTATCGCGAAAACGATCTTAACGGCAGTTAACGATTTAACGCAAAGCGATGTTTTAAAAAGCCTTGCCTTGATTAAACCGGACGCGATATGTATTATATCACATTTAAAATAAATAATTATCCAAAAATGTTACTACGCCCGTGGCAACGACTGGGCAACTACTGAGAGGGATCTTCTCGGTTCCGGCGCAAGCTCTGCTTCCGATTTTGACCAAAAGCTGCGCCACTAGAGATGCATGAGAGAAGGGTGTCTGTATCTACTTCCACCAGGGAGATGAAACAACCCCCGTGTGGACCAGTGAAGTAGCATAGCAAGGGTTGCTCGTTCACGCAAGAAAAAAAAAATATTCTTGAAATTCAAAGTTCAGTCAGAGTTTTTGATTTGTAGTATGAGTTTTGAATTTAATCTTTCCAGAAGAAATATCCAATTAAAATTTGTAATTATTCGATATATCGATCGAACAATGTTATCGCACCCTTGTAGAGCGTCATCCAAGGGTGGGTAGATGTTACACTGATATGCCAAGAATAATTGGAACTAAGGGACATTCTTAGCTACCCAACCCTGGATGACATTGAAAAAACTCAACCTTTTATCTATATACTTTACATATTTTATGGTAATGGCCATCAAGTGCCAAACAAAGAGGCTGACTAAAATTCAATCTCTTCTGGTAGACTTATTAATTACTTTTCAAATCATCCAATTCAACAAAAAATAAATATTGTGTAGCGCAGCGTTACTATAGCTAGTAAAACAGATCACCAATGCAAACTTTGTACTTAGTAATTTTTCTTGCACATCATACAAAACAATTGATAACCTTCCAACTTTCATAATTATAATTATAGGCGAAAATTTCATTTAAATGTTTAGGAAAGTTTCACATTAAACATTTATTTAATCGGGACATTTAAATCTTTACACAATTTTCACTTAACTTTGCAATTAAATATTCCGAACCTTTCAAATAAATCTTTAGGAAATCTTTAGGAAAGTTTCGGTGCTGTGGGGGTCAGTAGAGATAGCGTTCTTTCAAAACAAAATTAAATTCAGTTTTAACTTAATTTTTGCATTGAATTGAGAATAATTTTTAAGCAGATATTATTTATTATCAATTTTGTGTTTTTTTTTAAATAAATTAGCAGGAAAAGAATAAGAAACTAAGCTATAGAAATTTATTTATTCATAATTGAAATAATTTTTCAAATTCTTTTAATTTTACGAAATACGGTTTCTTTCGTGACTTTTGTATTTTATAATTAATGAATAAAATATTTCTATTAATCTGATACCCTTGTGGATAACTTTGCGATGAGTTAGTTTCCACCTCGTCCTCAATGTCGAAGTTCATTGTGGAAGCTTGCGGTCTCGCTGCAAACTAGTGTCCCTAAGGACGTCTCACTTCAACTACTATACTGCCTGCCAGAAGGCATCAAAATCTCTGATTGCTTTTAATGTTATACGATATGACAAAATCTAAATCTACGCTATAAAAATTGTGACATTTCAATAAAATCATTTATATTGTTACTAAATAAAAGAAAGAAAAAAATTAGAGCTGTGCAATGTTCGAATCGAATCGAATTTTCTTCGGTTTTTAATGACCCTGACTCGAATTTCGAACATTCGACCATCGAACTGGACTGACTCGGATGTCGGATTTTCGACATTCGAATTGGACGGACTCGAATGTCGGATTTCAATATTCGAACTGGGCTGACTCGGATGTCGAAATTTTGAAATTCGAAATGGGCTGATTCGAATGTTGAATTTCGACATTCGAACTGGACTGACTCGAATGTCGAATATTCGACATTCGAACTCGGCGTAAAAATTCGAACAATTCGGTTCGATTTATTTTGCACAGGTCTAGATTTTTTCATTTTCCAGGAAAACATTCTATTCATAAAAATGGAATAAAATTGATTATTCTTAGTCTACTGCAATTTAGGTTCAATTGGTAGGTTTTTTTGAAGGTTATTACGTGTTGTTTTAAGGTAAGAAAATAATAGAGACATGCTGATTAATTTTTTTTGAATTTGTAAGGAATTTTTTCATTTTCCAGGAAAACATTCTATTCAAAAAAATGGAATAAAATTGATTATTCTTAGTCTACTGCAATTTAGGTTCAATTGGTAGGTTTTATTGAAGGTTATTACGTGTTGTTTTAAGGTAAAAAAATAATAGAGACATGCTGATTAATTTTTTTTGAATTTATATGTAATTTTTTCATTTTCCAGGAAAACATTCTATGTCAAAAAATGGAATTTTCGACATTCGAACTCGGCGTAAAAATTCGAACAGTTCGGTTCGATTTATTTTGTACAGGTCTAAAAAAAATGTTTATTTTGAAAAACTTGTAATTTTTTAAAGGATTTTTAGAAAATCTGAAAAGACATTTAAAAATTAATTATATATAACAAATTCTGTTTCTACTTGAAGAATCATTAAAAATTTCAGTGAATTTAAAAAAATGTAGAATTTTCAATGTCTACTGAATGCTCTTTGTGAATTATAAGTATGATTTTTAATGGATCATAAACTGAAAAAATTCTCCATTTAAGAAATCTCTTGGCTAAAAGAAATTATTTTAAATGTGTCTGTAAAATGTGTACATGTAAATTTTTTATAAAATTATTTCTTTATTGTTAATTATCATTAATTAATATACAATTTTTTTTTAATTCTAATTTTCAAAGCATAATTTTCTCGAAGAATATAATTTATTTTTCACTTTCATTTTTATCACTTCATATCCTATTTAATAAACTATTTTATAGTTTACATAGCCGTGTTTAATACTTCGAGTTAATACAGTAATAATAATAATAATAATAATAATAATAATAATAATAACAGCTGTAACAAATACTTTTTCTTTAAAAAAAATCAGATTTTCTCGTAAATTTGTTTACAGTGACAACTGTTTCTTATTATTCTCTAATTAATAAAGAAATACTCTTTAATACCTGCATGAGTTTACTTAAGAATAGTAATCTTGTCATTTGGTTCTTTTTAAGTCTTTTCATTTTCAAAATACTGATACGACGAATGTTACATTAGTAAATAAATTTTTAGTAATATTAGTGATGTAACAGTAATAATTTCGTTATATCAAAAAATCAAAGAAGCTTTTCTCTTCTACAAATTAAAAATACACTAATTTTTAACTGCTAATACAATATATATATATATATATATATATAAGATTAAATGATTATATTTTAAATAGAAATTAGTAAAAACTAAATTTTTCCTGAGATAGTTGTATGTGTATCTTCTCAACAGATTGAGAAAAATGATTGTAACTAAAATCACTTTTTTTAGAAATTTCACTTGTTTGACAAAAAGAAAAAAATTTTCTAAATACTAAAATTTAAAATCTAAAAACTAAAATTTGTTTGCGACGCTTAAAATTACTCCTTTATATAATACTATTCCAATTAAATTTACTTCAGATGAATTTTACTCGCACTTTTTTTTTACTTAAAGTTAATTTCTTACATTAGAAACTTAAAAATTAATTACACTGAAGAAAACAATTATTTTATTCATAGAAAAATAGTTTCTTCAAACCAAATAATTTTTATTTGAATAAAATAAAAAAATTTTTTTCAGCGCAATTTTTTTCTTTAGAAGATTTTAAAGAATACTTTATAAGTAATATATCCCTTCGAAAGAAAATTTTTTTTAAAGAATAATTTATTCTTAAAATAATAAAAATAAAATAATAAAAATAATTATTTCCTCAAAAGAAGAAATAATTTTTGTAACACATTAACGTGAATTTATTAAACAAATAAAATTATTTAACTTTAAAATCTTCAATATATTTATTAAAAGACTTTTTTTAGTCATACTTTTTAATCCTGTAATTCTGACTGAAAGCGTAAATAGAAATATGTTTTTATTTTTTTTTTTTTATTGATAACATAAAGAGTTAAAATGAAAACATTTGACGAATATTTATAAGTCGAAAATTTTAATTGAAGGAGTTAAAAATAAAAAAAAAGTCGACACAATGTAAAAAAAAACACACACACAAAAAATAGAAAAACTTGAAAAAATATTCTGAAAAACTTGAGAACCTAAATTTGAAAAAAAATATCTATTATTCAAGAGTAATATTTAATTATATCATGTATGTATCGGTAATTATAAAAAAAATTTCAATTAATTTCACAAAAAAAATTGTCTTTTTAAAAAAACAATTTACAATTAAATTTCGTGTCGAATTATCTGGATTTTTAAATTTTTACAAATATTATTGTATTTATATTGTATAACAATATAAAATCACAACATTATAGTAAATAATTTTTTTTTAAAACAAAATTCTTCTTAAAACTGAAGAAATGGAAAAAATTAAATAATTTTTGCCACAGTAAAAGGCAAAAGGCCTATTTTGACAAAAGAAATTATGCCAATGTATTTTTTAATAATATGCATTCTGATAAATATTGCAAAATTGTATGTTAAAACTATATAAATAAATTTACTTCTATATATAATTAACATACATACAGACTAAAAAAAAAAAAAATTATTCTAAATATTACCCTTAAATTATTTTACACTTTTTAAATTTAGGTCAAATTTCGCAGAATTTGTATTTTCAAAAAAAGACTGCAAAAAGCACATAAGAAAAAAAAACATATATGAGAGAATCCAATAGACGTCATAAAATTAAATGAGGAAAAAAAAACACAGAAAAATGTAGAGGAAAAAACACGGAAAATGGAGAGAGAAAAAAAAATTATTAAAATAAAATAAACACAGAAAAATAAAACATTTTTGTCGAATATAAGAAAAACAGTGTAAAGATTCAAAATTTTCAAACGAATGCCAGTAGATGCTACAATTTTTGACTGATCTATGGAAAAAACACATTTTATTATCAACACATATAAATATTTTGTAAAAATTAAATGAACTTTTATATTTTAAAAAAATGCAACTCACTGAAAGTCTAATTCTGTTCAAATTATTATTATTATTATCTACAAATATGCGTTTTAAAATCAAAACCTTTAAAAAAAAAGAGAATTAAAAATTTGATTATAATCATTAAAAGAATATATTTAACATTTTTTTGTGTAAATTTTTTTTTTTTATGTACGTAAAAAATGTTTCAAGTCAAAAAAAATAAAGTTGTATAAAATAATTAAAAACTAAAAAGTTTACGAACACAATAATCTCTCCTTTTATCCGGTTTTTAATTATAATTTTTAAAACAAAACTAAACATTGATATTTTTTTTTCTCCCAAAACAAAACTTTTGTCAAAAAAATAAGATAATTTTCTTTATAAGAAAATTATGATTATAAATAGCAAATTTTTACGCTATTCATAAATTTTTAAATCCTTTTTTTTTCATTTTGTTTATATATTTTTGTTTACTCTTTCTCTTTTTTACTATTTGGTAATGATTATTATTTATCAATATTAAAAGATTATAATTTTCAAAAATATTGAATACTTAATAATATTTTTCATACTCTTAGTATAATAGAAATGTGATTTAGTTAATCACATTAAAATAAATAAATAAACAATTTTTATTAAATTACTTTTACTATTTGAAAAAAAATACTTTTATCCTTTCTTTTTCATCAAAATATTTTGCATTTTGAAATGATTTTTTATTTTGAAAAAAATATATACGACTTTCGTAAGTTAGTAGAAAATCTTGAATTATGTAATCAACATTTTTAAAGCAGAAAAGAATTTTTTTTTTTTAAACATTTTGTATATTCTATTAATATTTTAATTTTTTTTTTTTCAAATCAGTTTCATCTTTTTTTTCAATGTTTTGTCAATTTTTTTTCAACGCACTTATTCTTTGTGCTTATCCGAATATCAGTCAACACTAAACATTAACTCAACAGTAAAAGCAAAAAATTTGCTCACTGTTTAATATTTTGTAGCACCCACTTAAACAAACGATGAAAAAAATAAAAAATTACTCAAGATGCGAACGAAAAAAAAAATCCGAAAGAAACTCGTTTTCGGGTGTAATACAAAATATTTCAATCTTTATCTTGTTTTAATAATTAAAAAATAAAATGTTTGTTCTTCAAATGTTGCCTCAATGATGACTGATAACTGCGAAAAATAATATTATACCATAATAATTTGACGTTAATTATTATTCTTATTTAATTAAATAAAAATAACTTGCAAAAATTCAATATTAAAAAAATAATCAAAGTAATTTACATATTTAAATTTTTTTACCTGTACTGTTTGTCGCAAATATAGCAAATAAGTATCTTTCTGTTTTCAGGAAAGCAAAATTTGTAATGCTTTTGTAACTGAATTTTACTCTTAAAGATCCTTTTGCAGCGTTTACAAGCATAAGAATGTAATCCTGAAATAATAAAAATTTATTATTTTCTTTAATATTAATCATTAATATTAAATTAATAATAATTAATTAATTAATTATAATATAAGTGAATTGACAATAATAATAATATTCTGGGAAATGAATAAAATAATAAACAACGACATTTTCGATATAATTATTCTTTATTGAAAAAAAAAAAATATGTAAAATTTTGTTCTTTTATAAGGTGTCGTGTAATTCAATATTTACGATTCTATAAATTATAAGACGTGACCCTTGAGTTGTAGAAAAATATATAAACTTACATTTTGGTCTATAAAAATTTTATGAGCACGAGGGAATTTTTTTTTTTTTTTTTTTTCCAAGAGCTGCAATTATTACAACCGAGTTTAAAGTAGGTTAAAAAGGCCTGTTACCCGACGAAACCCCCCCTTGCGATCCCTCTCCCGTACCATTAACACTCTACTTGAAATGTGATTTACTAAACGTGACTAATGACACTTGAAACTACACGTATATATTTAAATCAGCCACCTGTTTCTTATTTTAAATACCTATATACATATATTAATAAATATAAAGGCGTCTTTCATGAAATAATTTGTATTTTGAAAAAAGGGCTGATTTTCATGTTTATAAATAAATAAAATAAAAAAGGGCTAAAGGTACAAGAAATTTTCTATAAAATCTATTTTAGATATTTAATTTTATAAAATTCTCTTTTTATTCTAATTTTTAAGTGAGATTTTGTTAAATGCAGTTTATTATGTAAGCATTATTGTATTCTTGAGTAGATGATGAAAACCGTTAAAAATGATAAGCGGTTATAATTTCTTAGAAGATTAGACGTAATCAGAGTCACCATTAAACCTGTAAAGAAATGTAAGTCGTATTTAAATAGATAAACAAATTGTAAATTAATTTTATTCATAAATTTTGAAAATAAATTTTTAATTACTAACCAAAAATATATTTATATATATCGTCTTCTAGTCTATCGTAAAATATTTCTGAAAAAATAATACAAGTGTAATAACAATATAATTATTATAATATTACTGTAAATTAATATTAATATTAATTTTTCTTATTATTTTTAATATTTCATTTTATTACTTACCTTTCAAATGCTATCATTCACATTTTATTATTTAATGTAATAAATTTTTCACTTTAAATAAATTATGAAAATTAAACTATATGTAGAAATTTTTAAAAAATTTTCTTATTTTTTCAAAAAATGCACTATACACGTAGACACATTTCAATTAATAATGAATCATTTTTAATTTTTAATAAAGAAATTGCAAAAGTTTATAGTTTAAAAATTTGAATTTTAAACTAAAAACTGAAAATTTGAATTTCTTGAACGTAAAAAATTAAATATTTTTTTTTTTTAATGTTTTTTCAATAATTAAAATAATTTATTATTTAAACTTTGATATTAAGTAAATAAATTAAAATATTTTTAATTATTAAAATTTATGGGCTTACTTTCTATTTTGCACGATACTATAAGGTTGCAAAAAAAAAGATATATCTCATAGTTTACAATTACCGTTTCCAATTACAAGTGTTGAAGAAAAAAAAATTCATTTATACTTTCTTTAAAAAAAATTTTTTTCTAAAAAAAATTTCTATTTAATGTTTGCAAAAAAAAATCAACGCAAACACGTAAACCAACAATGAAATAAATTATTTTCCTCGAAAGAAAATTTTAAATTAAATAATCATTTATATACATTACCTAAATGGGTCTTATTTTGATGAATAGCTAAAGTGCGTTGTTTGCCAAAAGTAATGTCGCACTCATGACATTTAAATCTGAAAAAAAAATTATTTTTCAAAAATAATTTTTAAATCAAACAAATTTATTTTTAACAGAAATTTTCCTAAATATTCTATATATTTACCTGTCAATATTTATCTCAAAATCCCTGTTTATTTCGTCATTTGATTTTATATTCTTTGGTGTATCAGGTACAATATCATCAGGTTTATTATTATTTTCTTCAATATTATTTTCATCCGAGCAGCTCTCAATGAATTTTGAATTCAATGATTTTTCATTAATAATTTTTTCACATGATTTTTTTTCATCAAAATTTTTACTCAACACCTCATCATCATCATTATCATCATTATCTTCATTTCTTGAATCACTATTACTACAATTATTATAATATTGATTATCATTGTCATAATCAAAATCTTCCGAACTATAGCCATTGATAAGAACATTTTTAAGTCTAAGATGAGATGCTTTTGTTGGTGAATCAAAATAAAAATTTTCTTCATAATCGAAAAAATTTAATTTCACTTCATTTCCATTTAAATCGCATTTATGTTTAACAATTTTAATTGGTGTTATTTTAATAATATCACTATTAGTACATAATAATGATGTGCTTAATAATTTATGAAAATCATCTGAAAATTCAATTAAATCATATGGATTTATATAATTTAAATAATCGGGAATTAAAAATTCACCATCAACTGGAAATGGAATTTTTTTCTTTTCAAAATAAAATTCTTCAAAACTTTCAAGTTCTGATTGTAATTCTTTTAAATTTTCAAAACCCAATAATTCTTCTATTGATGTTTCGGAATTTTCATTATTTCCCAATGATTCCATTGTTGATTCATCGAAATTGGAAATAATTTCTAAATTTGTTGTTTTTTCATTCAATGCCTGCATTTTATTTGAATTTATTTGTTCAAAATATTCTTCTTTTTGAATATTTTCTACATTTTGAAAATTATTTTTTTCTTGAAGATTTTCTTCTTGTTGATGATATTCTTTTTGTTTATTTTCTTCTTTTTCAATATTTTCTTGTTTTATAATAGTTTTATTGTCGTTGACAAAAATTTCACATTCATTATTTTTAAAATTATCATCATTAGAAATTTCGTTGTCATTGTCACTTGAAGATTGATCTTCACTAACGGGATTTATAAAAATGTCCTCTTCATTTAAATTCGATTCACTGGTTTTTAATGTTTTTTGAAAAATTGTACGTCTTGATGTAAATGGACATACTCTAGCGCTTAAATTTTCCTTTTTCTTTTTAATATCCTTTATTTTTGCCTGAATTTCGCTTTTACATTTTCTTCCAATTTTCGCTCGTTTTTTTAATGATTCATCTTCCTCGGAATTATTTTGTTTTCGTTTATTATTTTCATTTAATTTTTCCTCAATTTTCTTTTCATTTTTTTTCGTTGTCTTCATTTTCATCGGCTTCTCGATTTTAATTTCATCTTCTTTTTCCTCTTCTTCTTTTTTCATATCGATTTTTCCTTCAATTACTTCCAATTTTTCAAGTTTCACAGCAATTTCTTTGTCAATTTTCTTTTTAATTTTTAATTCTTCTTTCTTGCAATTTTTCCGATCAATTTTAATTTCAACTTCTGTATCAATTTTTCGTTTCTTCTCAGAAAATGAATTTTTTTCTTTTGAATCATGTAAATCTAAATCTATATTGTTTGATAAATTATAAACTTGTTTTCTTTTTCGATGATTTGTATCCTTGAGGGATTTATTTTCATTATCATTTTTAATATCAAGAAAATCATATTTATTTTTTGTACTTTTAGTTTTGAGAATATTTGGCAAATAACGATTATTGGAATTAATGTTAATATTATTTTTCATTGAATTTTTATCGTAAAACATTTGATGTTTCTTGTGATCATCAAAATTTGAATAGAGGGGAAATTTTGAGTTTGAAAATTCTCTTGATAAATCATTATTATTTTTAAATGAAGAAAATCTTTTATCATCTAATTCATTGGAAGATTTGAGTACACTTCTTGATGGTGGTGGAAGAAAAACTGTTGTTTGTCCCGTTTCTGAATTTATTTGAAGCGATGGATTTGGTTTTGAGCAGTATTTCAATAATTTTTTACTACCACCGGATGAATCGACTTTCAAATGGATTTTTGCTTTCGATAAATGAGTACAAGAAAAAAGATTGTAACATTCAGTTTTACCCATTTTTGAATTCATGTTTCCTACAAAAAAAAAATAAATTTATTGAAACACGCACAATGGGGGGAAAAAAAATCAACAAATTAATTAATTTAATGTTAATGTAATTTTTAATTTAATATTTTGAAAATATTAAAATTTAGAACAAAAAAAATAAAGAATAAATTAATAAGAAAAATTGTCAATTCCCATTATAATTAAAATTTAAGGTTATAAAAAGAAAAACATCAAATTGTCAATTAAAAAAAAGTCCATTATCAATATTATCTATCAAAATATATGAATAAATTAAAGACTTACCTTGTAATTTTTTTTTAAAATCCAGATGAAAAATTTTTTAAGAAAACCGACCGGCCGGCTTCACGATCTTATCAGGAAAATCATAGAAAATTATTTATAAAGGATATCTTGATATTAAATCATTTTTTTTTTTCACAACACTTTTGACTCCTTTGATTGATACGTTTAAATGTGAATTATTCCATATGGATTGAAATTAATATTATTAATCCATTCTTTTGTTTTTATCTGAACTCAATTGGCGGCGACGAACGAATGATTGCGATGCTGAGGATGTAATGAAACACTCAGAAGAGCCTGGACTCAAGAAGTGCCTTTGAAAGCCATAATGTAAACATTAGAAAACAGATCAGTGCTGTGATTAGATTATAGGGCCCCTTATGCAAATATATTTAATTATTTTTTTATAAATCTAAATTTCAGGACAATTATATATATTTTTATTTACATTTATTTTTTTTCGTATCGTAGATATATTTTATTCAGCTTTTAACGAGAGTTCTTTTAGAAAGAGAGAGAAAAAAAACTCCCCAAAAGGGGGCAGTATTCAATTATTTGTTGATATTCAAGGTCAAGAAATCCCAAATTCTAATTAATCCTCAAAATTAATTTATTGAAAATTCATAAATTTATAAGTAATATTAACTAATAAATTAATTATAATAAAAAAATAAATTTTTAAATTTTACTAACCTGTTTTACAAAAATTGGCAAGATTGATGTTATAAAGAAAGAGCTTTAAAAATGGTGCCATTGTTTATTTTTATATACTTCACTGGTTTTTCTTGCACATTATAATTTCTTGGATTTTACCTCCCCTTAATATTCGCGTATATTTCTTTATCTATTTTCTATATGTAACACTTCTTTCAATCGAACCCCATAAAAAAAAATTGGAGTGATATCAAATTCTCGGTAAGTCAATTTGTTTTTTTTTTTAAGTTTTTATAAGTGTAAAATAGAAATAATAACAACAATATAATCTACATTAAAACAATTTTAAAAGTTAGGTTAAGTTCTTTTTTTCTCTATTATAATAATTCAATTTAATAATTCTTGTTAGTTTAGGTGTCTTTTTTTTATTTTTTGCAAAATTATGTATATTTAATTAACAGATTATTACAATGTTTCAGGGATCACAGTACCTTTATTTTTGAAAATAGGTGACAAAAAGGTGAAACTTTTTATCAATGATTGAATCAATAGTTTGAAATTTAAAACATTAATTAAAATTTATACCAATTAAAATTTGAATAATTTTAAAACTTAAATCAATTAAAATTCAGATAATTAAAGAAAGCATTGTAGTCATTCAAATTAATTTTTTTTTAATATGCATTAATTAATTAAAGTTTAAGTTTGATTTATATTTTAATAAATTTTTAAATAAATTTTTATTTAAAGAGGTTAATTATAATCTAGTAAAAACTGATAAAAATATATCTGACCAATTGGGAGGAAATTACTCTAAAAATTTAACATTTATTAATAATAATAATAATATCTTTATTTTGTTCCAGGCAAATCATAAGAACAATAATTAAAATACAGAAAATTATTACATATTAGAAAAAAGAAATTATTATTTTTTTTATGTACATGATAGTATCATTCTTCAAGAGTAAAATAAAAGAAGAAAAATTGAATTCGCTCCATATCGTTCTGTAGAAATTAAGTTTGAAAAACAACATGTTTTTAATTAACAAATGGAATAATTTATAAACTATTCATCCAATTGGGTTCGAAGCTTTTTCATTTTGTTCAGTATCGCAAGGGGCACATTTTCATAAAGTTTCACTCCAATCGAATTATTATTAACAAAGTTATTAAACAATTAAAAAAGTGCCATTTTTAATGGTCTAAATTCAATAACTTTTAAACAAATAATCCGATTTTAACTTTCGTCCCACCATTTTGTAGGTATTTTTTATAACTTTCTTTTTTAATCACAACTTTTTCCTCTAAAATGTAGAGGAAAGTAACGAGCACCAAAAAACCACCTTTCGCCAACTTTGATGTTTATTTATAATATTTTCCGCAACCGGAAATCGAGAGCAAACTATGGGGCCTTCAAACTACCAAAATCCGTTTAGAACAGTCTGTTTACATTTAATGGTACTTTTTGTCTTTATTTACTGGCCTATAAAAACGAAAATATAGACCGAACATAGTAAAATATAAACAATCAACTCAAACATTATATATAGACCAATCATAAAATAGTTAGAACCAACAAAAATAAAATTTTGGTATATTTTAAAACGATTTTCTGAAATGGTATGTTTTTCCACTAACCCGACGAATGATTAATAATCTTCATTGATAAATTTTGCTTAAATCAACAAAAATTATCTCAGGAATGTTAAAAAAAACTCTTTTTAAAGTGCTAATAAATTTTATTGATATTTTTCATAGAAAAAGTGTTAAAATTAAATGCTTTCACACTTTGTTTTTACAAATATCTTTTTCCACGCATTCATTTTAAATACAATTTCATTACAATTATTTCAATAGTTAATATACACATATAAATCCCGTTTTAATATAAATGAATAATAAATTTGTTATACAATAAAATTAACAGATGCTTCATATAAGTAGAATTAAATTATTTGTTCCGTTGGTATTTTCATAAAATGGAAGCAATCTTGTGCAATTGCGTTAATAAAATTTTAATGTCATCTCGACAAAAATTGTTCCTTTTTGAAACAATTTTTCTCCTAATAAATATTGAATACATATTATATAAAATATATGTTTAATCACCAGTCATTCGTATCAGCAAGATCGTTATTATGTTCATTTAATTTTGAGAAAAGAACATCTCGTACTTTTGGTTTTGGATCATTTTTTATTTTAGTAGGAATCGCTTCTGATTGTCCAAGCATCCATTCTAATTCTGTGAAAATAATTAATAAATTTAATTTAAATTGTTTTAATTTAAATTACTATTAATTAAATAATATCAAAAATAATTATTTACCATCTTCTGTTAGTTTCATTCCCCGTAATTCGATTGGTCCAATAATTTGTTTTTTCATTTCTCCATTTGCGTAAATAAATATTGTTGGTAGATTGCTATCGGGCCAATTTGGTATGCAAGTAGTGGAAATACTTTTTAAAAATTTTGTCGTAGGAAACTTTCTCGCTAATGATGCCAAATGTTGATTAATTAACGTACAGAGAGGAATTCTGCAAAATAAATTATTAAAATTAATAATTATCATTGAATACAAAAATTTTGTTAGAACTTACCCTGATTTATACAAATGTAAAACAACGCAAATATTTTCTCCAGCTTTATTAACTTCTTGAACATAATCTTGAGCTGAAATTTCTCTAACTTCACCATATTTTGATTTATTGGCCAATTCCTGCATTTCTGCTATTCTTTTTCGTCGATATTCTTGTAAAACTCTTTCGTCTTCCTCATCTTCGAGTTCATCAAGTTCATCTAATGTTTTATCCTCCAAATTTGTAATTTCTATTGAAAAACAGAATTTTTTTTTAAATTAAATAATAATTTCTAGTCATTTTTTGAAAAAAAGACACAAAGAAAATTTTTCTTTTGCCAAAATATGTTTTTTTTTGGGGCCAAATTGCATTTTTGAAAAAAATCAATAATTTCATTTGAAAGTTTAGAAAATTCTCTACAAAAATCGTTGGTAAAATTTTCAAATTCTTTAATACGGGTAAAAGTTATTGCCATTTGAAAATTATGATGCAAAAAAAAAAAAATTGAGCCCCTGATAACATGGCAACCACGCATTACACAGATCTAAAAATCTACATAATGTACTTGTTTTTATATTTCATTGACAAAAAAAAGATTTTTTTTTTGGTGTCTTTTTTCAGAGAATGCCTCATATATTAAAGAAAATTATTATTAAAAATAATTACCACGTCCTGTTTTTTGATCTATTGTCGATTCTAAAATATTAACTATTTGATCTTCCGTTATTTCCGCATCTTTCTTCTTTTCGGGAATAATTCCTTTCCGTCTAAGAATATCATTCCATTCAGTGTCTTCGTTTGGATCTTGCTGAAATTTATATAAATAATTAATAAATTTCTTTTAAGATTTTATTTTAAATTTTGAAAAATTACTTCAAATTCCTAATTTTTAAGGGGAATAATTAATAAATTTAATTACATATTAGATATTTAAGAGGAGAATGAATATTTAAAAATACCATTTTGAAGAACTTGGATTTCCAAAAATGGTATGGATCAAAAATAACCTATAATATGAAATAGAAAAAAATAGAAATAGAAGTTTATTTTCCATTACTTACCATGATTAATTATTAATTACACTTGTTTAACGTTTCCTTTAATAATCTTAATTTCTAATAATTTATTGTCAATAGTTTATTAACTAGTTTTAAAAGAACACACTTTTTTCACGCCCTTTGGAAATGAATTCACGTTCAAGCAGACGATAAATTTTTACTTTTGACGTCCTTGACGTCTTGCGGATTTTTCAGGAAACTTACATTAATATCTCAGTCGATGAAAATTGAAAAACTTTGTTTTTTTACTTAATTTTTATATTTTTTCATTAAATAACCGATCTATATTTTAAAAGAGAAGAAATAAAAAATTGTATTTTAAATAATTTAAAAAATATTTAAATACTCTGAAAAGCAGATTCCTAATTGACCTTCACAAAATTGAATTCAGTGACATCTGGTAACACATTAGAATATCAACCCAAATATCTTCAGTATATTAAGCTATTCTTAAAGCATAAACACTGTTCTAAAATTGTTTGTTATTTTTTTAAAAATCCTTTCGTTAATTGTTAAAAATGTTCAACGACGTTGTGAAAAAGACACCAAAGAGTTCAGAAGCTACGGAGGTAAGTGAAAATTATTTAAAATAACATCCTTTTTATTGTGAGAAATATTGTCATTTTCAATTATTTTTATTTTATTGCATTATTAACATTTTTAAGGCCGACGTTAGGGAAGATGAAGAACAGGGTGTTAAATTTCAAGAAATCATTGATCTTCTCGTTGCAGCTGGTTATTTTCGTGCAAGAATAAAAGGATTGTCAAATTTTGACAAAGTGGGTAAAAATTTTCCCTATCAGAAATAATAGTATTAGTGGTAGTAATAGTAGTTTCCTGATGTACCGATGAAGAAATATAGTACTTAAAGTTTCTCATTTCCCCTCAATGAGGGATGTAGTTTTATTAATATTTGTGGGAATTTAAAAAAAAATTAAACATAATTAAAACTGCAGGTTATTGGAGGATTGACTTGGTGTATAGAGACATGTAATTTTGACATTGATGTGGATTTACTTTTTCGTGAAAATTTAACCATTGGACAAAAAATGTAAGTAACAAACTAGATTTTAAATTAAGAAGTAATTTTTGACTTTACCGGCAATACGACATCTATTAGATGCCATTAGAACTCTATGGTTGCAGCTCATTCAGTTATTATTTGTCGATAAACCTCATTGATATAATAATTTTCTACATTATCTTCTTTTTAATGAGCTCCAACAATAGAGTTTTAATGGCATCCAATAGATGTCGCATTGTCGGTAAAGTCAAAAATTACTTCTTAATTTAAAAAATTTTACATTTGTTCAATAAAATTTTAAACATAAACTTGAGGCATTCTCTGTAAAAAGCCACTCAAAAAAAATTGTCTATATGAAATATGAATAGATAAAAATAAATATATAGAGTAGGTTTATAGGTCCGTGTAATGCTGGGTTGCCATGTTTTGAGGGGCTCAATTTTTTTGTAGCATAATTTTCAAATGGCAATAACTTTTACCCGGATCAATGGATTTGAAAATTTTACTAACGTTTTTTTGTAGAGAATTTTCTAAACTTTCAAATGATATTATTTTTTTTAGAGCTTTAACTGAAAAAATTGTTGCCGTCTTACCAAAAATGAATTGTCCTCATCGAATTGAACCACATCAGATTCAAGGTCTTGATTGTATTCACATATTTCCAGTTGTTCAGGTTGATATATTTTCTACTGTTAGAATTTTCTACTTATCTCTTATTTTCTTATAAATTTTGAGTTTTATTTTTTTTTTTTAAATAAAATTTATTGTCATATTGTAATTATACAGTGGTTAGTGAAACGATCCATGAAAACAAGGGAGCAAATGGCGGGATTTGTAAGATCCTTTGCTGTTAGTCAATTTGAAAAGAATCATTCATCTGCAGATGAACGAAAAGATTCAGCATCGGGAAAAATAGAGAATATGATACCCAATATAATGCTTGTAAAGGTAAAATTTCTTAATGAAATTCGAAACAAATAATTGTTTCTAAGAATTTATAATTATTTTTTCACAGAAAGTTTATGAAATACGACGTCCTGAAGATGTTACATCAACTGTACAAAGTTCTCTTTTAGAATATGGTGCAGCAGCTCATATTTTCACAGACACTGCTGATGGAAATGATGAAAATCAACACCAGGAGGTTTTTTTTTAATTTTCAATTAGAATTCATAGAATCTTTGATAAATATTTGATTTTTTTTTAATTGTAATTTTTCATAGATGGATGTTGTTGATGATGCAAACGCACAAATTTCTAAAGTGACTGATTCTTATGCTGGTTTAATGATTTCTGAAGTAGGTATAAATTGAAGAAAATTGTTCATTTTATTTTCAAATACTGAATTTTTAAAAATTATTTTAAATTAAAAGGAGAAAACAAATTTTTTAGTTAATTGAAGAAAGAAGGTGAATATAATGAAATTAAAATAAGATTTTATTAAGTTTGTCCGTTTCTTATTTTTTCTTATCAGGACAACGCTTCGTTCCGCGCGATAGCTGCTTTAGAAAAACAAAAGTCCACTTTAGAAAATAAAGCACAAAAGTTGAGGAAGGAAAGAGACGGCTTGTTAACAAAAGTCTCGGATGCAAGTGACAGACTGAAAAAAATACGCACTGGTCGTAAAGTTGTCGAGGAAGCTTTCAAGAAAATGAAGGAAATGGAAACCAATGAAAATGAAGAGTAAGTAAAAATTTTAAATTAATTTTCACTCTTTTCAATAATGTTGAACAACATTGGTCAAAAGAATCAAAAATCTCTTTGTTAATTAAACTAATTTTCATCTATATATGAAGAAAGCTGAGAAAATTAGAAGAACTTCTTTCCGTTCACGATGGTCTAAAAGATCAGGAGAACAAATTTCGTGATCAGTGCCGAATGGATTTGAATCTTTTAAGAAATGCTGTTATGGAAATTGAAAAAGATGAGCCACAGGAGGAAGAAGTTCGTGTAATTGAATATGAAGAAAAGAAGGAAAATGTTAATCGTCTAAGATTACAATTGGCAAAAAAAAATCGTGTTATAGCTTCACTAACAAGACAACTTGATGACGTGCCCGGAAGATCAGAATTAACGCAATATCAACGGCGTTTTATGGAATTATATAATCAAGGTTTGGAAAATAAATTCAAATTTAAAATAACATAAATACTTAATAATTATTTCTTCATTTGTCTAGTTTCTGCAAAGCACAAGGAGACTAAACAATATTACACTCTCTACAATACGTTGGATGACACCAAACTTTATTTGAGCAAAGAACTTTCTTTATTAAATTCTATTCAAGATAATTATAACGAGTAGGTATAATTATATGATTAATAATTAGAAATAATAACTAATGATTTTTATTTTTTTAGAGCAATGGCTTCTGCAAGTGGTAAAGAACAATTTTTGAAACAATTTGAAGCTATTGTTGAAGGTGTAAAGAGAAATAAAACGAAGGTAGTGATTTCCCAGTTATATTGTTGAAATAAATAAAATTGTTATTAATTTAAATACATATTTGTCTAGGTTGAAAAGCGCTGTGCAGAAGAAAAAAGTAGAAGAGATGCTCTAAGTCGACAACTTGTTACTTTAGTAGAGCAGCAAAGGAAGTATGTTGCGGCTGTTAAACAACTAACAATAGAGTGTCGTAAAAATGAAGCTCTTTTGGCTCAACTACGCGGACCATAGAATAAGATACTGTACAAATAATAATTTTTGTCAAACAAGACTTAATAAATTAAGCATTTTTTTTATTTATGATATAATTTGTTTTAATTTCCCTTATTTTTAAATTACATAATCTAAATTAAGTAGATGAAGATCATCTGCTTAATTGAAGATTTCTTGTTGAAAAAAAAAGAAGTCTTGTGAGGTTCAGAAGAATGTCAATATAACAAGTAAAATCCAAGTATCTAGAGTTCTATTCTTTTTACAAACAATTTAATCAATTGTAATTACAATTACAAACAATTGTAATAATTTAAATTATTATAAAATAAAATTCTGCAAATAATAAAAAATATTGTTTGAAATGTCACAAATGTGTATTATCATAGCACTCGCTCGGTGTTTCTTATAGTAGTAGCAGACGAATTTCATAGGTTAAAATCGACAGTTTCGTGTTTTTCCCACAAACGCCACTTTTGTCTATTCGAATTTTCCGAAATGATGTTATAGATAATGGGGACAGACTTGACATTAGAGTGAAGTCTCTTTATTCTTATTTCATGATAGCGAGTAAGATCCAATCAGAAACCAAAAACTAGTTTAAACAAAAATAGATAAAAAAAATAAGAATTTTTGTCAGATAAGCGAATGTTGTTACAATGATACGTGGAATAGAATAATAGTAAAAACTTTTGAAAAAGGGACAATTGTACTTGAAAAAAATAAAAATAAAACAGACCTGTTATGTATATATATATATATATAAAAGTATATAGTCGAACGGGCCACTGAAGAGAGTGAAGTTATTAGCCGCTTTTGCTGCTTTTATGAATTAACACACTGAACGAGTGCTTTAAAGCGCTCTTACAACGCGCGGTACCAGTGTGAGCTGTTATATTTTTCTTTGGGCTTTTAATTAGTCTGGTCATTAATTAAACACAACTCTACTTCGAGGGCTCCCGCTCGTACAGGCAAGGTCTCTCTTTTCTCTCCTTCTCGCCTCTTTCCGTTGTCGACTCAGCTTTGCTACACTTGAGGAATTTTAATTTCGCCGACGTGTAAACACGCGAGCGTCAATTTATTTCACCGCGGGGAACGTTTTAAAGGGTTTTCACTATTGGTCCACGTTCTATCTCGATTTTGTGTTTGAAAAACTGCAAATTTTTACTCTCTGTCGTCCTTATACTTCTCTCACTTGGGATTTTTTATTTGGGGGGGAAATTTTCCTTTTTAATTTATAAATTCAAACAAAAGAACCTTTTTATATTATATTATTTTAGTTAATTTATACAAATTGTATTGTATTCCCCATTGTGTTCGTTATAGAAATTGACTTATCTACAAATTAACCATTGTCGTGTTAAGCGCCCATAACAAACAGTCATAAAACAAAATTATTACCATAAGCATTATCAAATTACGAATTCGAAACAATGATCTCACTAATTAAAAATAACTTTTTTAATGATGAATTTACATTATTTTTTATCATTTTTGACAGAAAATCTATAATTATCTTTATTTAAATACCCGCGTTTTCTTTAATCCAATCACGATAAAATGCAACATTAGTGTATACTCCGGGAAGATAGGGACGACCACATCCAATACCCCAGGAAGTTATTCCCACAAGTTTCCCATTAAGTTGAAAAGGTCCACCAGAATCACCCTGGCATGCATCGATTCCTCCTTTTACAAATCCAGCACAAATTTGTTCACGTGGAATTCGATAACCCAAATTTTGCTCACATTTATTACGTGCGACTATTGGTACATTTGCTTTTTGTAGAAAATTCGGTAAAACTGAACTTGTTTCCCTTAAACTTCCCCATCCTGAAATAAGACCAATCGAACCTGGTTTTAATAATGTTTCATCAGTATTTATTGGAATTGGTATTCGTCTTTTGTTGATGTATAAAAAATCCTTTTTTACTTTAATAAGTGCAATATCATTTAAAAGTGTTGTTTTTCTCTCTATTTTCATATTAAAATTTTTGTGCATAATTAAAAAATCAATTGTATGAAGATATCCATATTTTCTTAATTCCTCAGTACCACTATGAATCCGTACATGATTAATGATTACATAATCAGGAAAACAATGAGCAGCCGATAAGGCCCATTTATGATGTATAATACTAGCACCACAAAAATGACTTCCATATATTCTCACTGACAATTGATATGGTACATCGGAAATTTTTGCTCTTATACCACCAACAATTTTTGCAAAATTTTCATTCTCTGAATTTGTTATTTCTTTAATTCCACGTGTCATGAGTTGTAGCATTAGTCTTAAAATACATGTCCATGGATTCGCTGTAATATGAATAATAAAATGTGTATTAAAAAATTATGAAAAATTCTTGATTAATAAAATTTAAAATAGAAATCATGATCTTGGATTAATTTTTAGAAAAAATTGAAAAAACATTTATGATTAGATTCTTTATTAAACTCCTGTATTTTCTTTTATCCATTGACGATAATAAGCAACTTCAGTATAAACACCAGGGTATCCAGCCCTTCCACAACCTACTCCCCATGAAACAATTCCAGCTAGCTTTCGATTAACAACCAAAGGTCCACCTGAATCACCAGAACAAGCATCTATATTACCCTTTTGATATCCAGCACATATCTGTCCAATAGGAAGATTAGGATACGATTGACGACATTCTCTAAGCGACATAATTGGAACTCTTGCTATACGAAGATTAAGTGCATGATTTTCCATAGTTTCCGAAATAAAACCCCAACCACTAATTACAGCCATTGATCCAATTGTAACTATTTCATTTGTTTGAAATAATTCAATTCGTTTAACAAAATGTGAATAAATAAATTTTTGGCTAACTAAAACAACTGCAATATCATTAATAGGTGTACCATCATTTTTTGAATGATAATTATTGTGAATTATAATTTTTTCAATTTTATGTATTCTTCCATAATAAGTGGCTTTACTTGTACCAGATCGTATTCTCATTGCATTAATGGGAAACATATCAGAGAAACAATGTGCCGCTGACAAAGCCCACTTTGGTGAAATGATATTTGCACCACAAATGTGTTTATCGTATAATTCAATAGAGAGTTGATAAGGGATTTGTGATATGCTTGTCACTGATCCTCCGACAATTCGATTTTTAATCTCATAATTTTTTTCGAGATTAGGAAAAAAATTTGAAGATTCAGTTGTTGTCTTCATTTTTTCTAATAAATGTATACGAAATTCACCCATCAGACAAATTTTCTCTCCTGAAAATACGAAAATTCCCAAAAAAAAAGAAGCATATATTGTTTTTCAGTAATTTATAATAATCTTCGTGTAAAATTCAAATTTGCTATCAAATCACGTCAACTATGTCCATAATTTCAACATATAATGGATTGAGATGCGAAATTACAACCATCCATCATTCGCAAAAAAAAAAACATCATGTATTACATTTTTATGCAATATACATTATAAAATAATTTAAAAAGGAAAATAAAATTTTTTATAATATTTAAATTTTTTTAATGAAATCAAATTGCAGTTTTGAGAAAACATTAAGATCATGAAAACAAATATTTTTTATAAATATATGAAAACAAAGCCTTAGATAATAAAAATTATGCAAGAAGCCAACTTACCATTTATAAAAACAATAACGATAAGAATAATTAGTAATTTGATATTCATGTTTTTTTTGTGCAATTTACTAAAGAAAAAAAATACTGTTTAAAAATTCTCGTTTTCTTTCTCAACTGACTTTAATAACATGATTGGAAGTCGATTTATCGAAAGCATCACTTAAGCTGTGCGATCAGTCACTTTTATCGAATACTAGGCAGTAAAGATTGCTTACTTTGATTAGAATTCCACTGAAAAATTTACACTTTTATCTGGATATTTTAAGTCTTGGAAAAAAGAATTTTTTTTTACTCCTTTAAAAAATAAGTGAAATTTTAATTAGATATATTTTCTTTTTTTTTTTTTTGGTAACCGATTGGTATAATATCTGATTTTGAGAAGGGAAAAGCTATTTTGAAAAATGCTTGAGGAAGAGAGTTCTTTCAGTCGTCAGACAGGCGTATACACTTGAGTATGCTGAGAGGGAGGTGTATCATTTTCCAAGGGACGAAACGACCGCGTGGTGGTTCTATCCCAAAAGTCATTCGCAGAAGCACAACCCTCTTGAACTCAGCCAGTGTGAAAAATGTATAGCAACCCGAAATAACCAACGTGAGTAACGGAGATCGGTACATTTTTAGCTTCGCTTCGCACCCTTCGCACAAAAGTCGTGAATTTCACCAACCCCACAAATTACTTTCTCTTCTTGTGGTTTGGAGGAAAAAAAAGAGACTATACACGTGAAATGGTCTGTAATGTTTTTACATAAATGACATTAAATTTCATTAATTTTTAAACTGGTTAAATGAAACGTTTAAATAAAAAAAATAATGTATAGAATTGTAGCAGGGAGTATTTTTATATGTCTAAATAGAAATTTTAGACCTTGTTTTACCAAATCTCACATTAATTTTTAACTTATAAAGAAATAGTCTCAAGTTTTATTAATTATTATTCACCCCTGGCGGCTTCAACACGGCTGCGCCAGGTGAACGTATAGCTTTCGATAAAATTTTAAAATTTCGTTAAACTAGAAAATTGCTCATCTCAGAATAAAAATAAGAAAAGAAAGAAGAGTTCGTCTTTTCAGCGAAAGTGGGTAGCAAAACCACAAATAGCTTGGTAATAAAACTTAAGCTTCAACCACCAGTGGAAGCTTTGAGCTTGAATCGTCGTCTTTCGGCACACCGTCAAATTCTTTTTTTTTACCGCTTGAGGTTTACGCGAATCCCAAATATGGCGGCACTAAGGGCTTTATGCTGTACTGAGTTTGGAAGTACCTACAACTTTTGCCCCGACTAAGAGAGAGAGAGAGTCAGTCGGGTGCACTTAGGCGAAGGTGGGTACACTTATCCCTGGGAGTGTCTGAGGTTCTTTCGAAGCTGAAATTGCAGTTTTAATGGAAACGTGCTGGACTTTGAGATGAACAAAAAATTGTAAAAAGAAAAAAGATTTAGATTGATTAATATGCCTTATTAGCATTCACCAACCGCTTGTCCAAATATTGTAAGAATGTAAACTTACATTTACATAAAACTTACATTAATTTTGATTATCAAGCAAAAAGATTCTAGAAAGTTGAAAAATAATTTTCTCCGATTTCTGCAGATATTGTTATATGGATGATATGGATCTAATTATAATTTTTCTTAAAAAAAGAACAATGATCAGGAAAACCACTACTGAGAAATAATAACATTTTATATTACTCTAACCAAAGGCATTATTTGTAAGTTATGCACCATTAACATTTACATTATGGGATTTTATTTTTGTTATTGGACCATCTATCACAAAGGAGAAAGGCATGGCAAAAGGGAAGGAACCAATGAGGAAATTTCTTCGACTCGATCCAAATTGGGAAGAACCTCAGTGATGTTCTTTCCCTTATAGAGTAGTATAGGGAACTGTAGAAGGAAAGGCAAGTTGATTTGCGGGTTTCAGAGGGTGCGACTATAAACCAAGAAACTCTCCCCTAGCTAACTTCAAGCACGTGAGGTATTAAATTACCGGTGTGTTCGACGAGACTATAATTTAAGGCACCCCTATCTTCAGATATTTTGGGTATATCTTCCACTTCGAAGTGTGATTTTTCTACTTTAGTTCCGATATTTAAAGTTTCCCTTCCGCAAATAAGATATCGATACTTCATGCATAAAACAAGCTTGAGAGGGTCTGAAAACTTCAATTTTAGCTCACCCTCTTTATAGTAAACGGACCTTTCCTTTGCTTTTCTTGATAACCTCTTCAGTTAATGGAAGAATAATTGAAAATTTTTTTTCCTTTTTAATCAGTTTATCAATAGACTCGATATAAAACGAAACATTTTTTGTTAACATCCAACCAAACGTTATTTTTCTTTTTAGGGTTCCGTTCACGCAGTAAACTGAAACAGAACCCTTATGGTTTCACTCATATCCGTCAACAAAATACTGTCACCCCCCTCTAAAATCTAGCCATTTTACTCGATTGAGCTCAAACCTTTGGGTGTATTTTGTGCAAGAAATTGCAATAAAATAGTCTGCCTAAGAAAAATTGAATTTTTTTGAAAATTTTTTTTGACGAAAATCGCTTTAATGATCATAAAATTGGTGTTCCTCTACTCGGATCGGGCTGTCAATTTTTTTCTACACTTTTAGGTGTATTTTGTGCAAGAAAATGCAATAAAATCGTCTGCCTAAGAAAAATTGAATTTTTTTGGTTAGTTTTTTATGCTTTGGGATGCGTTTTTGGTCATAAAAAGGGTGCTCCTCTACTCGGATCTGGGTGTCAATTTTTTTCTACACTTTTCGGTGTATTTTGTGCAAGAAAATGCAATAAAATCGTCTGCCTAAGAAAAATTGAATTTTTTTGGGAACTTTTTTATTTTTTTTGGATTTATGGGTTGGATGAGTTTTTGGTGGTAATAGGTGTCTTCCTCTACTCGGATCGGGCCGTCAATTTTTTTCTACACTTTTAGGTGTATTTTGTGCAAGAAATTGCAATAAAATAGTCTGCCTAAGAAAAATTGAATTTTTTTGAAAATTTTTTTTGACGAAAATCGCTTTAATGATCATAAAATTGGTGTTCCTCTACTCGGATCGGGCTGTCAATTTTTTTCTACACTTTTAGGTGTATTTTGTGCAAGAAAATGCAATAAAATCGTCTGCCTAAGAAAAATTGAATTTTTTTGGTTAGTTTTTTATGCTTTTGGATGCGTTTTTGGTCATAAAAAGGGTGTTCCTCTACTCGGATCTGGGTGTCAATTTTTTTCTACACTTTTAGGTGTATTTTGTGCAAGAAAATGCAATAAAATCGTCTGCCTAAGAAAAATTGAATTTTTTTGAAAATTTTTTTTGACGAAAATCGCTTTAATGATCATAAAATTGGTGTTCCTCTACTCGGATCGGGCTGTCAATTTTTTTCTACACTTTTAGGTGTATTTTGTGCAAGAAAATGCAATAAAATCGTCTGCCTAAGAAAAATTGAATTTTTTTGGTTAGTTTTTTATGCTTTGGGATGCGTTTTTGGTCATAAAAAGGGTGCTCATCTACTCGGATCTGGGTGTCAATTTTTTTCTACACTTTTCGGTGTATTTTGTGCAAGAATATGCAATAAAATCGTCTGCCTAAGAAAAATTGAATTTTTTTGGTAACTTTTTAGGATTTTGGATGCGTTTTTGGTCATAAAAACGGTGTTCCTCTACTCGGATCTGGGTGTCAATTTTTTTGTACACTTTTCGGTGTATTTTGTGCAAAAATATGTAATAAAATCGTCTGCCTAAGAAAAATTGAATTTTTTTGATAACTTTTTTATGATTTTGGATGCGTTTTTGGTCATAAAAAGGGTGCTCCTCTACTCGGATCTGGGTGTCAATTTTTTTCTACACTTTTCGGTGTATTTTGTGCAAGAATATGCAATAAAATCGTCTGCCTAAGAAAAATTGAATTTTTTTGAAAATTTTTTTTGACGAAAATCGCTTTAATGATCATAAAATTGGTGTTCCTCTACTCGGATCGGGCTGTCAATTTTTTTGTACACTTTTCGGTGTATTTTGTGCAAAAATATGTAATAAAATCGTCTGCCTAAGAAAAATTGAATTTTTTTGATAACTTTTTTATGATTTTGGATGCGTTTTTGGTCATAAAAAGGGTGCTCCTCTACTCGGATCTGGGTGTCAATTTTTTTCTACACTTTTCGGTGTATTTTGTGCAAGAATATGCAATAAAATCGTCTGCCTAAGAAAAATTGAATTTTTTTGGTAACTTTTTAGGATTTTGGATGCGTTTTTGGTCATAAAAACGGTGTTCCTCTACTCGGATCTGGGTGTCAATTTTTTTGTACACTTTTCGGTGTATTTTGTGCAAAAATATGTAATAAAATCGTCTGCCTAAGAAAAATTGAATTTTTTTGATAACTTTTTTATGATTTTGGATGCGTTTTTGGTCATAAAAAGGGTGTTCCTCTACTCGGATCTGGGTGTCAATTTTTTTCTACACTTTTAGGTGTATTTTGTGCAAGAAAATGCAATAAAATAGTCTGCCTAAGAAAAATTGAATTTTTTTGGTTAGTTTTTTATGCTTTGGGATGCGTTTTTGGTCATAAAAAGGGTGCTCATCTACTCGGATCTGGGTGTCAATTTTTTTCTACACTTTTCGGTGTATTTTGTGCAAGAATATGCAATAAAATCGTCTGCCTAAGAAAAATTGAATTTTTTTGGTAACTTTTTAGGATTTTGGATGCGTTTTTGGTCATAAAAACGGTGTTCCTCTACTCGGATCTGGGTGTCAATTTTTTTGTACACTTTTCGGTGTATTTTGTGCAAAAATATGTAATAAAATCGTCTGCCTAAGAAAAATTGAATTTTTTTGATAACTTTTTTATGATTTTGGATGCGTTTTTGGTCATAAAAAGGGTGCTCCTCTACTCGGATCTGGGTGTCAATTTTTTTCTACACTTTTCGGTGTATTTTGTGCAAGAATATGCAATAAAATCGTCTGCCTAAGAAAAATTGAATTTTTTTGAAAATTTTTTTTGACGAAAATCGCTTTAATGATCATAAAATTGGTGTTCCTCTACTCGGATCGGGCTGTCAATTTTTTTGTACACTTTTCGGTGTATTTTGTGCAAAAATATGTAATAAAATCGTCTGCCTAAGAAAAATTGAATTTTTTTGATAACTTTTTTATGATTTTGGATGCGTTTTTGGTCATAAAAAGGGTGCTCCTCTACTCGGATCTGGGTGTCAATTTTTTTCTACACTTTTCGGTGTATTTTGTGCAAGAATATGCAATAAAATCGTCTGCCTAAGAAAAATTGAATTTTTTTGGTAACTTTTTAGGATTTTGGATGCGTTTTTGGTCATAAAAACGGTGTTCCTCTACTCGGATCTGGGTGTCAATTTTTTTGTACACTTTTCGGTGTATTTTGTGCAAAAATATGTAATAAAATCGTCTGCCTAAGAAAAATTGAATTTTTTTGATAACTTTTTTATGATTTTGGATGCGTTTTTGGTCATAAAAAGGGTGTTCCTCTACTCGGATCTGGGTGTCAATTTTTTTCTACACTTTTAGGTGTATTTTGTGCAAGAAAATGCAATAAAATAGTCTGCCTAAGAAAAATTGAATTTTTTTCAAAATTTTTTTTGACGAAAGTCGCTTTAATGGTCATAAAATTGGTGTTCCTCTACTCGGATCGGGCTGTCAATTTTTTTCTACACTTTTAGGTGTATTTTGTGCAAGAAAATGCAATAAAATCGTCTGCCTAAGAAAAATTGAATTTTTTTGGTTAGTTTTTTATGATTTTGGATGCGTTTTTGGTCATAAAAAGGGTGTTCCTCTACTCGGATCTGGGTGTCAATTTTTTTCTACACTTTTAGGTGTATTTTGTGCAAGAAAATGCAATAAAATCGTCTGCCTAAGAAAAATTGAATTTTTTTGGTTAGTTTTTTATGATTTTGGATGCGTTTTTGGTCATAAAAAGGGTGTTCCTCTACTCGGATCTGGGTGTCAATTTTTTTCTACACTTTTAGGTGTATTTTGTGCAAGGAATTGCAATAAAATCGTCTGCCTAAGAAAAATTGAATTTTTTTGGTTAGTTTTTTATGCTTTTGGATGCGTTTTTGGTCATAAAAAGGGTGTTCCTCTACTCGGATCTGGGTGTCAATTTTTTTCTACACTTTTAGGTGTATTTTGTGCAAGAAAATGCAATAAAATCGTCTGCCTAAGAAAAATTGAATTTTTTTGGTTAGTTTTTTATGATTTTGGATGCGTTTTTGGTCATAAAAAGGGTGTTCCTCTACTCGGATCTGGGTGTCAATTTTTTTCTACACTTTTAGGTGTATTTTGTGCAAGAAAATGCAATAAAATAGTCTGCCTAAGAAAAATTGAATTTTTTTGAAAATTTTTTTTGACGAAAATCGCTTTAATGATCATAAAATTGGTGTTCCTCTACTCGGATCGGGCTGTCAATTTTTTTCTACACTTTTCGGTGTATTTTGTGCAAGAATATGCAATAAAATCGTCTGCCTAAGAAAAATTGAATTTTTTTGGTTAGTTTTTTATGCTTTTGGATGCGTTTTTGGTCATAAAAAGGGTGTTCCTCTACTCGGATCTGGGTGTCAATTTTTTTCTACACTTTTCGGTGTATTTTGTGCAAGAATATGCAATAAAATCGTTTGCCTAAGAAAAATTGAATTTTTTTGGTAACTTTTTATGATTTGGGATGCGTTTTTGGTCATAAAAACGGTGTTCCTCTACTCGGATCTGGGTGTCAATTTTTTTCTACACTTTTAGGTGTATTTTGTGCAAGGAATTGCAATAAAATCGTCTGCCTAAGAAAAATTGAATTTTTTTGGTTAGTTTTTTATGCTTTTGGATGCGTTTTTGGTCATAAAAAGGGTGTTCCTCTACTCGGATCTGGGTGTCAATTTTTTTCTACACTTTTAGGTGTATTTTGTGCAAGAAAATGCAATAAAATCGTCTGCCTAAGAAAAATTGAATTTTTTTGGTTAGTTTTTTATGATTTTGGATGCGTTTTTGGTCATAAAAAGGGTGTTCCTCTACTCGGATCTGGGTGTCAATTTTTTTCTACACTTTTAGGTGTATTTTGTGCAAGAAAATGCAATAAAATAGTCTGCCTAAGAAAAATTGAATTTTTTTGAAAATTTTTTTTGACGAAAATCGCTTTAATGATCATAAAATTGGTGTTCCTCTACTCGGATCGGGCTGTCAATTTTTTTCTACACTTTTCGGTGTATTTTGTGCAAGAATATGCAATAAAATCGTCTGCCTAAGAAAAATTGAATTTTTTTGGTAACTTTTTAGGATTTTGGATGCGTTTTTGGTCATAAAAAGGGTGTTCCTCTACTCGGATCTGGGTGTCAATTTTTTTCTAAACTTTTCTGTGTATTTTGTGCAAGAATATGCAATAAAATCGTCTGCCTAAGAAAAATTGAATTTTTTTGGTTAGTTTTTTATGCTTTTGGATGCGTTTTTGGTCATAAAAAGGGTGTTCCTCTACTCGGATCTGGGTGTCAATTTTTTTCTACACTTTTAGGTGTATTTTGTGCAAGAAAATGCAATAAAATCGTCTGCCTAAGAAAAATTGAATTTTTTTGGTTAGTTTTTTATGATTTTGGATGCGTTTTTGGTCATAAAAAGGGTGTTCCTCTACTCGGATCTGGGTGTCAATTTTTTTCTACACTTTTAGGTGTATTTTGTGCAAGAAAATGCAATAAAATAGTCTGCCTAAGAAAAATTGAATTTTTTTGAAAATTTTTTTTGACGAAAATCGCTTTAATGATCATAAAATTGGTGTTCCTCTACTCGGATCGGGCTGTCAATTTTTTTCTACACTTTTCGGTGTATTTTGTGCAAGAATATGCAATAAAATCGTCTGCCTAAGAAAAATTGAATTTTTTTGTTTAGTTTTTTATGCTTTTGGATGCGTTTTTGGTCATAAAAAGGGTGTTCCTCTACTCGGATCTGGGTGTCAATTTTTTTCTACACTTTTAGGTGTATTTTGTGCAAGAAAATGCAATAAAATCGTCTGCCTAAGAAAAATTGAATTTTTTTGGTTAGTTTTTTATGCTTTTGGATGCGTTTTTGGTCATAAAAAGGGTGTTCCTCTACTCGGATCTGGGTGTCAATTTTTTTCTACACTTTTCGGTGTATTTTGTGCAAGAATATGCAATAAAATCGTCTGCCTAAGAAAAATTAAATATTTTTTTGGTAACTTTTTATGATTTTGGATGCGTTTTTGGTCATAAAAACGGTGTTCCTCTACTCGGATCTGGGTGTCAATTTTTTTCTACACTTTTAGGTGTATTTTGTGCAAGGAATTGCAATAAAATCGTCTGCCTAAGAAAAATTGAATTTTTTTGGTTAGTTTTTTATGATTTTGGATGCGTTTTTGGTCATAAAAAGGGTGTTCCTCTACTCGGATCTGGGTGTCAATTTTTTTCTACACTTTTAGGTGTATTTTGTGCAAGAAAATGCAATAAAATAGTCTGCCTAAGAAAAATTGAATTTTTTTGAAAATTTTTTTTGACGAAAATCGCTTTAATGATCATAAAATTGGTGTTCCTCTACTCGGATCTGGGTGTCAATTTTTTTCTAAACTTTTCGGTGTATTTTGTGCAAGAATATGCAATAAAATCGTCTGCCTAAGAAAAATTGAATTTTTTTGGTAACTTTTTATGATTTTGGATGCGTTTTTGGTCATAAAAAGGGTGTTCCTCTACTCGGATCTGGGTGTCAATTTTTTTCTACACTTTTCGGTGTATTTTGTGCAAGAATATGCAATAAAATCGTCTGCCTAAGAAAAATTGAATTTTTTTGGTAACTTTTTATGATTTTGGATGCGTTTTTGGTCATAAAAACGGTGTTCATCTACTCGGATCTGGGTGTCAATTTTTTTCTACACTTTTAGGTGTATTTTGTGCAAGGAATTGCAATAAAATCGTTTGCCTAAGAAAAATTGAATTTTTTTGGTTAGTTTTTTATGCTTTTGGATGCGTTTTTGGTCATAAAAAGGGTGTTCCTCTACTCGGATCTGGGTGTCAATTTTTTTCTAAACTTTTCGGTGTATTTTGTGCAAGAATATGCAATAAAATCGTCTGCCTAAGAAAAATTGAATTTTTTTGGTAACTTTTTATGATTTTGGATGCGTTTTTGGTCATAAAAAGGGTGTTCCTCTACTCGGATCGGGCTGTCAATTTTTTTCTACACTTTTAGGTGTATTTTGTGCAAGAATATGCAATAAAATCGTCTGCCTAAGAAAAATTGAATTTTTTTGGTAACTTTTTAGGATTTTGGATGCGTTTTTGGTCATAAAAAGGGTGTTCCTCTACTCGGATCTGGGTGTCAATTTTTTTCTACACTTTTAGGTGTATTTTGTGCAAGAAAATGCAATAAAATCGTCTGCCTAAGAAAAATTGAATTTTTTTGGTTAGTTTTTTATGATTTTGGATGCGTTTTTGGTCATAAAAAGGGTGTTCCTCTACTCGGATCTGGGTGTCAATTTTTTTCTACACTTTTAGGTGTATTTTGTGCAAGAAAATGCAATAAAATAGTCTGCCTAAGAAAAATTGAATTTTTTTGAAAATTTTTTTTGACGAAAATCGCTTTAATGATCATAAAATTGGTGTTCCTCTACTCGGATCTGGGTGTCAATTTTTTTCTAAACTTTTCGGTGTATTTTGTGCAAGAATATGCAATAAAATCGTCTGCCTAAGAAAAATTGAATTTTTTTGGTAACTTTTTATGATTTTGGATGCGTTTTTGGTCATAAAAAGGGTGTTCCTCTACTCGGATCTGGGTGTCAATTTTTTTCTACACTTTTCGGTGTATTTTGTGCAAGAATATGCAATAAAATCGTCTGCCTAAGAAAAATTGAATTTTTTTGGTAACTTTTTATGATTTTGGATGCGTTTTTGGTCATAAAAACGGTGTTCATCTACTCGGATCTGGGTGTCAATTTTTTTCTACACTTTTAGGTGTATTTTGTGCAAGGAATTGCAATAAAATCGTTTGCCTAAGAAAAATTGAATTTTTTTGGTTAGTTTTTTATGCTTTTGGATGCGTTTTTGGTCATAAAAAGGGTGTTCCTCTACTCGGATCTGGGTGTCAATTTTTTTCTAAACTTTTCGGTGTATTTTGTGCAAGAATATGCAATAAAATCGTCTGCCTAAGAAAAATTGAATTTTTTTGGTAACTTTTTATGATTTTGGATGCGTTTTTGGTCATAAAAAGGGTGTTCCTCTACTCGGATCGGGCTGTCAATTTTTTTCTACACTTTTAGGTGTATTTTGTGCAAGAATATGCAATAAAATCGTCTGCCTAAGAAAAATTGAATTTTTTTGGTAACTTTTTAGGATTTTGGATGCGTTTTTGGTCATAAAAAGGGTGTTCCTCTACTCGGATCTGGGTGTCAATTTTTTTCTACACTTTTCGGTGTATTTTGTGCAAGAATATGCAATAAAATCGTCTGCCTAAGAAAAATTGAATTTTTTTGGTAACTTTTTATGATTTTGGATGCGTTTTTGGTCATAAAAAGGGTGTTCCTCTACTCGGATCGGGCTGTCAATTTTTTTCTACACTTTTAGGTGTATTTTGTGCAAGAATATGCAATAAAATCGTCTGCCTAAGAAAAATTGAATTTTTTTGGTAACTTTTTAGGATTTTGGATGCGTTTTTGGTCATAAAAACGGTGTTCCTCTACTCGGATCTGGGTGTCAATTTTTGTCTACACTTTTAGATGTATTTTGTGCAAGGAATTGCAATAAAATCGTCTGCCTAAGAAAAATTGAATTTTTTTGGTTAGTTTTTTATGCTTTTGAATGCGTTTTTGGTCATAAAAAGGGTGTTCCTCTACTGGGATCTGGGTGTCAATTTTTTTCTAAACTTTTCGGTGTATTTTGTGCAAGAATATGCAATAAAATCGTCTGCCTAAGAAAAATTGAATTTTTTTGGTAACTTTTTATGATTTTGGATGCGTTTTTGGTCATAAAAAGGGTGTTCCTCTACTCGGATCGGGCTGTCAATTTTTTTCTACACTTTTAGGTGTATTTTGTGCAAGAAATTGCAATAAAATAGTCTGCCTAAGAAAAATTGAATTTTTTGGTAAATTTTATTTGACTTGGGTAGCGTTTATGGTTTTAAAATTGGTCTTCCTCCACTTGTATCGGGGAGTCAATTTTTTTCTATACTTTTAGGTGTATTTTGGGTAAGAATTTGGAATTAAATTGTTTGTCTTAGAAAAATTGAAGTTTTTGGTAATTTTTTTATGATTGGGGTAGATTAAAGGGTGGTATTATGGGCCTCAATAGACTCGATAAACAACAAATCATTTTTTGTTAACATCCTGTCTTGGAAACTATTTTTTTTGCAATTCAATTACCGAGGGCGATTAATACATTTTGATCAATATGATTTTTTAGTTTAAATTTTTTTTTTAAAATCAAAGACATGAAGATTGAGATATTTCTGCATGAATAAGTTAAAAGTTGACTTGTCATTGAGCTAGAGGGCATTATGTATTGTGGAAGCTACTATTGTTTGTATTGTTTCTCCTCCTTGAAAATTCATAGCCCGGAACCATGACCTCGATCCAGATTCTGTGTAAATACATACTATACCATAAGAGAGAGATTGAGTGAGTGGAATTTGTATTCTTGTAGATTGTCATCCTCTTGAATTATCATCTGCGATACTTTTGCTGCCACAAATTTTCCGATAAAGACCTCTGACACAAACAAATTCGAGTTATTTCATGTTCTCTTGGGATCATTCTGTTTATGCTATTTCCAACCCAAAATCGATTTGTTTACATTGTTTAAATATATGAACCACTGGGAAATGCTGATTTTGTCAATGAATTTCAAAATGTTTTAAATATTTATAGAAAAATTGAATTTAGAAAGAAGAAAATTCTGATGATCAAGATAATTGTAAACAAGTTTTGAAAATTGTAATTTTTTTTTAATTAATAAAATTCGTTTCATGCACTCAACGGTAGAATTCTGATCTGGAGTTGCAATGCATCAGCAACTTTTCTTGACCGTATTAAGGTCATAAAATGCGTTCAACGAGTCGTACGAATGTTTACAGTCTCGCTTCTACTTTAGAGCTTATATAACTAAATTTTCCAAGAATATATATATATATAAGTAATCCAAGTCACAAAAGACTAAGAAACTTTTTTATGAAGTCATCTCAAGTTGGATTAGCAAAGTTGATAGAAAAATGTTCTTTGGAACATAACTTATAAAAAATCTTTGTTCTTTTTCATAGTATGATTTAAAATATAAATTATTAGTGAATGAATTATTTTTTTAAGAAAGAAACACGTTTCTACATTTACAAAAAAAAAATTACAGATATGGGGTATAAATTAAAGTTGTAGAGTTAAATTAAAATTACAAACTCCATTATTTCCTTTTTGGACACCGCAATACCAGGGTCTACTTCGTCTTCTGTAGTTCCTTGAATAGCAACAGTTTCCATTTTCAACTGTATATATATATATGGGGCATTCCACGTCAACGAGAGACCCCCCGCCCCCAGAATAGATTTAAATGAAAAAAGTTCAAATACGGCTTAAAATTTAGGTAATTACATCTACTTTAAAATGCAAAGTGGCAAAATAAAAAATTCAAGATGGCGGATCCAATATGGTGAAAAAAGTAAAAAAAAAATGCTTGAATTCACTTGAAACTTGTTACTCGGGGGTTTTTAGGGTCGCTAAACACAAATATGAAATCAGATTTTTAATATTAAAAATGGCGGATCCAATATGGTGGCCGATTTTTAAAAATTTTAACAAATTTCAATAAAACGTATCTTATGGTGCTTTGTAGGGTTGTAAAAAGTTCTAAAGGTTTTAAATTGAATTTGAAATTTAGGTAATTACTCCTACTTTAAAATGCTAAGTGTCAAAATAAAAATTCAAGATGGCGGATCCAATATGGTGAAAGAAGTAACAAAAAAAGATATAATTCAATTGAAATTTGTCACTCAGGGGTTTTTAGGGTCGCTGAACACTAATCTGACATCAGATTTTAAATATTCAAAATGGGTAATAATCCAACTAGTAAAAGTAAGACATAGGTTCCAACTAGTAAAAGTAAGAAAGGGTAAAATCCAACTAGTGAAAGTGAGACATATAGAGTCCAACCAATTAAGGCAAGACCAATTTAGGTTCCAA